TCACTCATTGTGTTCAGGTGAGCTGGGTTTCAATCCAGCAACTCATTGTATTGAGGTGAACTGGGTTTCAATCCAGCAACTCATTGTATTGAGGTGAACTGGGTTTCAATCCAGCAACTCATTGTGTTCAGGTGAGCTGGGTTTCAATCCAGCAACTCATTGTATTGAGGTGAACTGGGTTTCAATCCAGCAACTCATTGTATTCAGGTGAGCTGGGTTTCAATCCAGCAACTCATTGTATTGAGGTGAACTGGGTTTCAATCCAGCAACTCATTGTATTGAGGTGAGCTGGGTTTCAATCCAGCAACTCATTGTATTGAGGTGAGCTGGGTTTTATAATAAAGAGTAGACATGTGTATTGATGTTCTTAAGTAGTAACGGAAATATTCATACTCATTTTAATATAAATTAACTATCTGTTATATACAGATAACAGTTTACATGATGAGTGATTTATTTCATCTGAGGAGACAATTCTGAACTGATGTGACACTTTTTTTTATCATAAAATTTAAAATTAATTTATTTCCTCCTTATTCGTGTTTCTAAAATTTGAAGTAAATTCATATAGTTTGGTGGTAATCTAATGGTAATATTTTCATAGGAGTATCGGCAGAGGAAAACCAGTATGGATGAAACAGAAGTGCGTAGTTTACCTGGCGGGGAGTTTGCTCGTAACAGTCCATACCGGGCTAGTCTACCTGTAGTGAGACCAGCTGTTAACATGTCCAAGGCAAAACCCTTAGGTAGGTGTTAAATCTTTCCTTACACATTTTGTCATTGTCTTTGCTTTATTTCTAATTTATCGTATATTATTTTATTATTTAAATGTGATTTGTAAGGTTGCAATACTTATGACATGACATCTATAAAAAGTCCTAGGCAAATGAAATATATTTCTTAAAATAGCCTACTGTACTATAACATAGACTGTGTAAGTATGCTGTCTTTTGAGATGTGCACATTCCTTCCACTGTATAGTCAAGTATGGCATTATACAAGAATCTTGTATCTCTGTAATTGGCTCAGACTGACAAACCAGATGAGGGTTTTTTTCCCCCGTCTCATTTATGATGTTGAGTGAGTCTGTTGTAATGAATTTTGGTGGAATAATGATCAACTTTTCAAAAGGGGTAGTCTGACTTGATTACACACACACATACACACACACACACACACACACATACACAGATACACAGATAGCTCTATGTCCCAAAATAAAGGTCATTTTATTTAAAACTTGGTGACATTTTGAACTTTGGATATACCGGTATGTGGTATCATGTGTGTATAGTTTACTTTAACTACTGGCAGAATCTATCTTGTATTTTGTTAATCTTGATAAAACATGTCTGGGCTTAATAAGAAATGAAGACTTGACAAAAAAAGTATTATACTTCTAATTTTCACCTAATTTTATGCTAAATAATTAAATCTTTTTCAAAGTTGATCATACTGTTAAATAATAACAATCAGTAAAAGTCACAGAAAATGCACAACAAATTTGCTTGTAAAGTTTCGAGGAAATTAACTTATATTGCCTTGTGCACATACACACAGGTAGAAGGTATCCTAAGCACTGCATGCATTCCAAGGTGTTTCTGTCATCACATTGTAATTATACAAATGTATTATGTACCCATGAATGAAAGAAAAGCTTTACTGTCATAGCCATAAGGTTCCAAACACCAATATAGCACCATTGCCAGCTAAGTTGGTAACTGGCTTGTTATGCAAGTCTGGAAATTGTTATGCATAAGAACAAGTTGGGTCAAACCAACCTCAACTGGAGATGTTAAACTTCAAGTGAGGGACACGTTGAATATAAATATAAGATACAATTATCTTTACATATATATTGCTGTATTGGAAAAACAAAGTTATCCTGACAAATAAACAAAACAGTCACTGGTGTGTCTAGTGCATATCATAACACTCTAAAAGCACACATTTAGCACTCCCTTGTAAAAATGGTTTGATCTAACCAGTTCTAATCCTGTAATAATAATCTGGAGCCACACATTATAAACAAGTCAGCAACTTAGCTGGCAATATTGCCATTTTTAGTCCCCGTTCGGACGAAGTCCGAAAACGAGGACTTATAATTCGGTCTCCGTCCGTGTGTCCGTGCATCTGTGCGTCTGTGCGTCTGTGCGTCCGTGCGTCCGTCTGGAGTCATATCTCAGAATCCCTTGGACCGATTCCGTTCATTCTTTGCATGTGCCAAGTACTTTATGTGGGACATATGCACATGCAGTGGTTCAGCGATTCGATTCAAAATGGCCGACTGGCAGCCATCTTGTTTTTTGAAAATGTTGTATTTTGGACATGCTTTGTCAGTTTTCATTCAAACTTGGTACATAGATTATACATGTTAGGCTACATGTTCATTATGATTTATTTTGCAATTGGATCAAAGATAGTTGACTGGCAGGCATCTTGTTTTTTTTTTATGCGGTATCTTGGACGTGCTCTGTCAGTTTTGGTTCAAATTTGGCACATACATGTTTATACATGTTAGGATGCATGTCCATGACAATTTGTTTTAAAATCTGGTCAAAGCTGGCCGATTGACAGCCATCTGACTTTTTGGCCTTACTACTA